TTTGTACTCAGGATCCTCCTGCCTCAGCTTCTCAAACTGCTGGGATTATAGGTGTGTGCCGCAGTGCCCAGATGTTTCCAAGTTTTGATCTGTTTACTCTTATTGTCATCACTGTGAAGACTTATACAAATTAATTATATTTTTTAAATGTTTTATTTTAGTTTTGTTACTTAAAATTTTTTCTTTAGATTACAAAAAATGTATGAAAATTGTGTCACACACTTTCAACCTTCTTTTGTAGCTGGAACATGAAAATGCCCAGTTAAGAAATATAAATCTCACTTTGTCTGAAGCCCTTCATTCACAGTCCGTGGCAAGCATGATCCTGGATGATGAAGGTGTTTTGGGCAGTATTGAGAATTCTTTCCAGAAATTTCACGCTTTCTTGGATCTCCTTAAAGATGCTGGGTTAGTTTATTTCTGTCTAGGGCATTTTTCCTTCCATAATTTTAATCATAGTTTGCTAAGGAACCTGAGTGATTTTCAGAGCTCTGTAAGCTATATTTAGTGTGTAATAATAATATACTTGTTTTTTACATGAAAAATTAGTTGTTAAAAAAATGCAAAATGGCAATTCTGCCTTGGTAGAGAGCCCATCATAAAACGTAGTGCTGTAGTAATTGGTAGGTATAACTTTTGGCACAGACTAAATTAAAGGCAATTATAATTGAAAATATTCAGGAATGTGTAGAAAATTTCTTGCCTTTTATTCATCTTTCTTGTTGAATAAGTTTAAATTGATATTTTTGTCCTATTGTAATGCTTATTAATCTCCTGGAAAGATATAGATACAAATATAGATTGGTGGTTCTAAACCAGGAATAATTTTGCTAAAAGAAAAGAGTTGGAAATAGTTGATGAGTGATATTTTGTATGTGAATGGGTTGATAGTGGAAATTTTCACATTCTTAGAAATCGTAGGAAAAGTGGTAAAGTGTATGGGGATAAGAGGCACAAGGTGCCCCTGGTAAGTTAGAGCTTAAAATGGAGGAGTGATGCTAAGGACATAAAGTCAAAAGATATTAATACAAAGTTGTAGAGAATATGGAGTACAGGAAGGATTGGAGATCCAGTATGTATCCCAAGCATGAATATGGGAAGATCTGAGAAATGTAGAGAGATGGGGGTTATGATCTGAAGTAAGGTAATGGCTTCTAAGATCTTAGAAGCTTAGGTATTCATTTATACAAATACTTCGTGCTTGTAGGAGTAGGGAAATCCGAGTTATTCTGATGAGATTACAGTAACCCTTCTTTCTCGTTTGTTCCTCTTATGCAGGCTTGGGCAACTTGCCACAATGGCTGGTATAGATCAGTCAGATTTTCATTTACTAGGTCGTCCTCAGATGAATTCTACTATTAGTAGTGCACCTAAAGAAGAAAAGAAGGCACTTGAAGAAGAAAAAACAGATCCAAAGCAAAATGCCCTAGGACAAATGCAGAATATCCAAGTAAGTGGGCAGAACTTAATGATCAAAGAATGATTAGTAAAAAGGGAATTATTCAATTAGAGAGAAAATGAGAACTGTTCCTCAGCTCCCAAGCTGGGGAACCAGAAGCCTCTTTAGGGTCCTTTCCATGTCTGAGATTACTAAGTTTGTGTCCATTTCATAATATTATATTGTAAATAAGAAACTTATTTTGACAGTTTATGATTTAAAGCAGATTGTCTTCAGTAAAGAAGGAAAGATTAGAGAAAATACTCTAAATTTTAAATTTTGTAAATGTCTATTTTATTCACATTTCATCTAGGTTTCTATTTGTATGCAGTCAGCTTACAATGAAGGAACACTAATGAAGGTACAAATACTGATACAGATAATTTAAAAAAATAAGTAGTCCAGATATAACTAAAAGGCAATATATTGTAGGTAGCCACTGGTGATGGGAATGGGAGGGGAAAACCTGTCTGCCACAGGACTCCCCTGCTGCTTTTCCCCTGCCTTACCTGGAGCCCCATCTCTCATCAACCAATCTCAGACTGTTCTCAGGAACTGACAGTTTGAGAACTCAGTTGAGTTACTCATTGGATACTACTTACATGCATGTGGTATATAGAAAATAAATTCATTTTCTTAGGAAATAGGTGTTGTTTTGTTGTTTTAGGTTTATTTGTTGCTGTTTTTGAAGGAGGGAAAGGGAAATGGACAGTAATTACATTAAACACAAAATCTGAAAACGTTCTAGACCTAACTCTGAATATAGCACATTTTGAGTGTGGAGTCATTTGCCAAGATACAATTAGTGGGGAAAAATGACTCTAAAGTCTTCTGAGCAATCAGCTGATGGCTTAACAACAAGATTACAGAATTACAGTCAAGTTCTGCACTCTTTAATGGTTAGCTTTGTTTATGACTGAATTTTTTGTTTTCCTTTCCAGTTTCAGAAAATCACAGGTGATGCTAGAATTCCTTTGCCTCTTGACTCCTTCCATGTCCCAGTTTCTACTCAGGAGGCCTCAGGAACTTCCAAAGACAACCTGGAAGACCCAGCTCCTGAGCAGCGGCAGGAATCTTTTGAAGGATTCATGGCGAGAACATGTTCTCCTTTAGCAGATATGATTTCTGGAACTGGAAATCAAAGAGAAGAAGAGGAATTATCTAGAAATAGCAGTTCACCCTCAGAGAAAATGACCCAAGCAGGTGAATATACCAAAAAACACTTTGCCAAGAAACAGCCTGGGAAGGACCTGCATTCCTATTCTGACTCCTTTATAAACCAGAAAAGCAAAGGAATTGGGGAAAATAGGTCTTTGGTTCATGAGTCAATTAAAAGTGAGTCTTCAAAAAACTACGTTTCTGTCAAGAAAGAAAGTAGAATAGTGACTGTTTCATCCAAGACAAATAAAAGTAAATCCAATCCACTAGAACATTCTGAAAGTGATACTCTTGGATCTGATTTTGAAGTTCAAGAAAGCATCCATTCTCTATCACGCTTGACCTAGGTCTAAACCTTCTGAAATTATGTTTTTACCTTCAAATTTTAATAAATTTTCTTATGTTTTTATTATTGCATATGGTGTCTTAAAATATAGGAATGGAAGCCATTAAAGGAATGTTTATCTATGCTTTTTATCATAATGAAGATTCTGGCATATTTTCCCTTTTGATACTTTGCACTGTTCATTCAACAAATGTTTACAATACTATTCTGG